GACGTGTGTAGTGTGTGTGTGTGTGTGTGTGTGTGTGTGTGTGTGTGTGTGTGTGTGTGTGTGTGTGTGTGTGTGCTTGCTACGCTTATATGCGTAATCTAAAAATATATCCTACAGATCAAAATAACATTGTGTCCATATAAAAGAAGAATCTTGTTCTGATATAAAAGGATATCTTCGCTCTGATATATGCGATCACTCACTAAAGTGAAACCTGACGTAATCACTTCATACCAATGTGCAAAGTGAATAGCAAAGAAGTTGACCGAACGAAAAATGATTTTTGGACGCGCTGTGAGATTTAATTAAATAACAAATTAAAAAATGATTATGGATGAGATTAAATTTTTTTTAAATTATATAAAATCCTCCAAGCATTCCTTCATCTTCGTATCGAATCACTAAAGTGTTTATGAGATTAAATAATTAAATTTCATTAAATTTTATTAAATTTTATTAATTTTATTGCAATAAGATCTTTTTCGTGTTTCGAGTACTTGGGATATAGTTATCTATAGCGAGAACAAATTAATTACAATCTCACGCAAGCTTTCACTTTCAGAAAATATTCAAACGCAAGAATTTAGAAAAGCTATACACGATTTACCAGAGGAGGTTACAATATGGTTTTCTCTCGATATTCGTCGTACTGCAATTCTTACTTGGACTTACATATTGCTTGTTTCTGATCAAAATGGTAAGCTCATCATTTATTTATTAAAAATATTCACAGAAGAGCAGAAAGGAAAAGAGAAGAAGCGTTTTGTTTTATATAAAAGAAATTTTTAATTGCATGAATAGTCAGATGTAATACTAAAATATATCGCTTTTTATTAATTAAAGCAATTTATATATTGGAAAAATAATTTTTCCTGATAAATTCTTGTACAAATATATAAATTTATCAATAATAAACTTATCAGATAATTATTAACCAAAGATTATTTTTCATAGAAGCTTGCTTTGAAAAAGTGATAACTTCCCTGAAACTAAATATTTCCATTTTAAACACTTTACAGAATCACTCAATCAATCGTTGCCAATTCTATTGCAACAATTCTTTCATTAATAACGTCACCTACAGATCTTAATGACATAATTCTATTGATGATATAAATCGTAAGAATTTGTAAGTAACGTTAAAAAAATACAAGCTGGAACTCCTTTTCTGTGATTTAGGTTGAAATAAAGGAATGCATACTGGATATCGTAGTCTACTGCATCGTGGGCGCTCTATTGTGTCCTATGATCGCCCTGTCGTTCCGATTAAGGATCATTGCCAAAAACACCTATTTACCAGCCATGCTGTCCTGGATGATCGTCATACTTCTGGTCGTCGGTGACCTGGCTATTCCTCTGTATTACATTACCGACCACGAGAACAGTCGGCCGATAAGGTACTGATAATTCCGTAAATTGGGATAACTCGGGCGAGACCGCGCCTGATTATCATTATCATCATTTTACCATCGACCATAATGACTTCCTAACGACGGCCGTTTATTTAGCGTGCGATTTATCGAAATTATTCCGCTATAAATACGTGACGCAATTCACGTAATATTTGTTATTGATAAAGACGCGTGCTTTTATCCTCGTATTACAATTTTCATTGACGTCAGATCGATCGTTCCGACCGGTCGCACTTTTTTTTCCTCGCTAATCGCAACAGTCCGAGTTTTTGCTACGGTGCGATTGCGTTTTTTTTAGCTCTTCCAATTTCCATTAATAAGCACGTATCCGCGAATTTCCGCGTGCGTGCCACGTATGCGCACTTCTTCATCAGCGTTTATTTCTTCCTTTTTTTTTTCTTGTTCTTCTAGACCAGCGTACGCGACGCACACGCTTCTCGCGTGCTACGTATTCCTGCCGATCACAAAAAATTCGCATGCTTTCATACTCGGCCTTACGACCACCACGTGCTATCTGGCGATTCTGTCGTTAATCACCTACAGCAACACCGATTACGTTACCAAGGTAAACCCTATGCCAACTGTGCGCGGTGTAATGACGCTGACGCAAGTCGCCGCGCGATTGCTCGAACAAACCGATAGTTAAGAAAAATGCTTTTCCCTTTTTCCGGATAACAGATCGCCACCGAGATGATATACTTCGTCTGCGTGAACGGGCTGGGGCTCTACTTCAGGTTTATGAATGAGGTCGTCATCAGGCGCTCCTTCCTGGACCGCCGGAAGTGCGTCGAATCCACGCTCAGGCTCAACTACGAGAAGGATCAAGAAGTAAGTTTAAACGAACACGATCGAATTATTGCGATATGTTCGTTTTGGCAGATTAAAAGTGAGATTCCGAGATAATCTCAATGAGATATATCGAAACTCTCACCGTTTTTTTTTTTTTTTTTCTACTGTCTTCCTTTCCGTTCCATTCGAGTAGTTCTTTTTCAAAAGGTGAAGTAAGTAGCATTTCGTATGGGAAACGCAAGAAGCAAACTCATGATGCTAAGCACGTAAACATGCGATTACATATACGATAAATACATCGAATGCCTTTTGCACTTTAATTCCCCTTGCACTTTAATTCCCTAGACCAACTTGAAGTACTCGCTTTCCTGCCATTTTCCTACGTCCGCGAAGAATACAAGAATACAAACGCGAAATATGACGAGTTTCGAAAAAATTATCAATGACATAATTTAGGGAAATGTTTGTAAAAGAAAAAAAGCTGTACGAATGCGATGGTCAAAACCGGATTTAACTTGAAATAATCAATATTTGCAAGGAGCAATTGACACGAAGTATACTGCCACAACACATAGTGGCGAAAATCAAAAAGGACTTCCGGGACATCTCCAAGTTCATAGAGGAGCACAAGAAAAGTCCTCCGCCGAAAGGCAGGCCGCACAGGTACGACTCTCTCGTAAAAAATTGGAAGTTGTTCCATTATTCCAATTTAATCGTTACATTTCAATTGTCTCTGTTCAGCGATCTGTGCGTGGAGACGCACGACAACGTGAGCATCCTGTATGCGGACGTGGTGAATTTCTCCGGGTTGACGGTGACGCTGCCGATACGGAAACTCGTGGAGACGCTGAACGACCTGTTCGGCAGCTTCGACGAGGCCTCCGAGCGGCACAATGTGCTGAGAATCAAATTTCTGGGCGACTGCTACTACTGCGTGAGCGGCGTGCCCACGCCGAACTCCCAGCATGCCAAGAGTTGCGTTGATCTCGGTAAAGTGGCAGTGTCTATTTACGCGTTGCGGAATGCGGCGAGACTAAGAAAATATCCAGCGGATGTTTGGAGAAACGTTATTCTTCGCGAATACAATTTTGTAAAAAAAAAAAAAAGAATTCTGCGCTCGATTAAAACATATTCTATATATATATATATATATATATATATATATATATATATTAAATAAATGATGTAATTAAATTGATGATTCAGATGTCCTTGAACATTTTATCGCAGAGATCTAGAAATCTCAAGAAGTCCTCAAGTGTCCTTTATTAATTTTAATAACTTGAATAATTACGATTGCAACGATTAAAAAATATTCCCGCATCTTTTTTCTAATGAAATATTGTTTTATAAAACGATAGGCCTCGATATGATAAAGATCATCAACGAGGTGAGGGCGCGTCTCTATCGCGAGAGTGGAGTGGACGTGAACATGAGGATCGGCGTACACTCGGGCAACATAATATCCGGAATCTTGGGCATGAACAAGTGGCAGTACGACGTTTGGTCCCGCGATGTGGTGATAGCGAACAAGATGGAGCAGACCGGGAAGCCCGGAAAGGTCCATGTAACTCAGCAGACCTTGGATCTCATAAACGCGAGCGATTACAACTACATCCCGGTCGAGAGGTTGGATGACGAAGTCCTGCAAAAATACAGAATACGCAGCTATCTCATCACGCCGTCTTTACCGGAAACGCCGATACCATCGCTGACGCGGTGCGTGTCTCCCAGTGGCGTGGGAAAGTCACAAATTCATATCTCTAACGTCATCTTAAATCGATACGATACCTTTCATCCGATTATATTTTCGCAATATTTCCATTTAAGTCGACTCGAGCGATTTCTATCAATTTCTGTCACTCGCACAATTTTTCAAATCCTTCAAATCTTCAATAACTCTCGCGTGTTACAGAGACGCAGAGACGTTTAACGGATGAATACTCCTACGCCACTGATCTCTCGGTATTCTCGTCGAGCGAATTTCCAGCTGAGTGTTTCGCATCGTTGACAGACGAACTTTGTTGCAGAACAGCGAGAACAGTTTGAAGACCGTTAGTCCGGACACGCCGACTCTGTCATATACAACGCCTAACAAGCACTACGTCAAGTTCAACAATGGGCGTTCCAACACCATCATCAACACCATTTCCAGGACGAAGTTGATGATGAACAATCAAGCGGACGTTTTCGCGAGCACTTACAGACGGAGAACGCACTTCATGGATTCCTGCCTACGGGATTACCATCTGATGCTGAAAGCGGCGGACGCCGAGATGGAGAACGCTATCAATCAAATGCCTCTCAACAAATGGGAGTAAGAATCCTCATGTTCGAATTTTTAGATTTATCTTAAATCATTAATTTCTTCAAAATTTGCTCGAATTTTTCATATTTTCATATAAATATTATGGTTATAACACAAAGATACTTGAGAAAAAAATATTGAGAGAAAATTATGCCGGAATTTTTTCCAGACAATGGAGCAACTGGAAGCATATAAATCCGCTCTTCCTCACATTTCGGCAATGGAGCTGGGAGATTCCATTTCTGCGCGAACCAGACCCCCTTTTTAAGTTTTACATCGGCTGCTCCACCTTCGTGCTTGTTTTCATGGCCTTAATGTATCTCGTGCCCACATTTATGTTTTCTCAGTACGTATAACAGAAGTGTCCGTCTGGTAAACGCCGTATGATATTGATTTAATAATACGAGAAATTGTTAAACTTTCAGATGGCATCTGGGCACAATTGTCGGTTACTCGTCGGCGATAATGTTCCTGATCGCTCTAATACCTCTCACATGGATGCACTTCGTGTGGAATCGCTGCAAGGACCCCCACGACGAGCACGAGGGCCACGTTCCCCATCCGCGGAACAAACTGCTATATTTTTTTTATCAAACAAGCGTGAAGGTAGAATTACTTAGTACTTATGTCGGCTTGCACGTATCTTCTTAATTACATTACCCTTCATTCTGTGTTACAATTCTGTGTAGGTTGTATGGAGCGCTCTTCTGAGAACAATCTTGTACCTGGTGATTACAATAATGCTGGCAGCATGCGCCATGTTTGACATGATCGTAAGAATTCTCTCCGATTCGATTTTTTTCCTTCTCGTTGATTATCTCATATATAAAATTAGCTTTTAATTACTTGCTTATTAACCGAACGTCTAGAAATAAAAATTCTATTCTTTCGCGATGCGATTAAAGGGAATTCAAATCCTTTTTAGTTCGATTACAAAAATGAGGATCACTTATTGGACAATAACGTAACGTCCAGCATGTCGGACGACGGCGCCTCCAAGTTAGAACGCATATCTACACCTTGGGTAAGATTATTTAGTAGGTACACGGTGCTGATCCTCATTTACGAGAAACTTCTCTGTCTCAAATGACTGTCTCTGTCTCCTCTCCCGTTGTTCTCGCGTATCATCGATTTCTCTTTTCCAGCAAATGACACAGACCTGCTCGTTGGCGATCCTCACGAGTTTCCTCTTTCTGAGGGTTCACTACGCCTTGAAATTTATAATAGGCATCTGCGTGGTGGCCTTTTACGCGTGGAACGTTTGGGTGTATCGGTCTAACATATTTCAGGTATTACATATGTATTTCTTTTCTTACGAAATTGATAAAAAAAAAAAAAAAAAAAAAAAACAAAAAAAAAACCACACATACACGCACAATATTTTCAGCCACGAATTTTCAGAATAGTTTATTAAAAAAAAATAAACGATAGTACAAAATGCCTTTCAGTCGAGCGACACGTGGAATCCTCAATTGGATCCGAGACTGGCACATATATTCACGATATTGTTTCTCACGTTCTCCTTACATCTTATCGATCGTCAGGTGAGTTTCGAGATTGCACTTGCATAAGACTTTCCCGACGTTCCTCGTCGTGTGAGTTAACTTTTACGAACATTCGTTTAGGCAGAGTACTTGAGCAGGTTGGATTACCAATGGAAGCGTCAGCTGACGAAAGAACAGAACGAAGCATTTCACACGAGGAACGCCAACAAGCTTCTACTTCGTAACATCCTGCCGGAACACGTTGGTACGTTGATCCCCCGCAAATTTCTTTCGATCCTACGAAAATTTCTTTCACGCGATAACACGCGTCTGAAAAATATCCAGAAACTAAAAATTTCCTTGAAAGTTCTTACAATTCTTTGATCGGATACGAAACTTAGAAATAACGACGGCATTCAGCGATTGATTATTATCCAAGACTGATCGCGTGACCGGTTCGCTTTCTAGCGGACTTTTATTTGAACATGAATCGAACCGAGGAGAACGAGCCTTATCACGAGGCCCATAACAACGTCGCCGTGATGTTCGCCTCTCTGACGGAGCTGTCGATCGACGAGAGCAACATTCTTAGCGATTTGAACGAGATTATCTGCGAATTTGACAAGCTGCTCTTCGACCCCTGCTTTATGTATCGCATAGAGAAAATAAAGGTCGCCGGTGAGAATCTCATGAATAATGAATCACGATGTGAAATTAACATCGACGCAAACTGAATTTTAAATTAACGAACCGCGTCCGCGTTTCTTTATTGTCTTTCATTCAGGAATAACGTATATGGCTGCCTGCGGATTGGAAGCGAGTCGACGCGATTCAATGCGCAGCACCGAGAGCGATGAGAATTGCAGCGACAATGTGGTCAAGGTGATGGCGCAATTTGCCGTACAAATGATGTCCGTGCTCGATAAAATGAACGCGAGATCGTTTACCATGTCGAAACCTCACAAGTGAGTAATGCCAAGCGCGATAAGAAACAATAGGCGAAATTACAAAAAAAATTCGTCGAAGAAATCGAGCTTCGAGATTCGAGAATATCGCAGCTCCCGAGTGAACGAATTTTATTCCGAGAGAAATTACAGATGATACGAAAATCTGAATTTTTTTTTTTTTAGATTAAGGATCGGAATTTCTCATGGAGAGGTGACGGCCGGCGTCGTAGGGGCTCAAAAGCCATTGTACGACATTTGGGGCGACGCTGTAAATATGGCGTCCAGGATGGATACCACTGGATTACCAGGAAAGATACAGGTAGATTTGATATATATTTAATATTAATATTTAATATTTAAACTTATTTAGTAAAAAATTATTTGTACTTTTATTGATTCAGGTGACAGCGGATACAGCCACCGTTTTGGAACAGCAAGGTGTCAAGTGTCACTTACGCGGCGAGACGTATGTCAAGCCGAAAGGAGAAGTCACGACGTATTTCGTAGGTATCGACAAGATGGGGATGTTGGAGAAAGTTGCGGAGGAAGAGAGTACTAGTTTGTGACAAACGATAAACGATAATTCGAATTAACTTTAGCGATCAAGATATCCCGATAAATCGTCTAAAGCGCGCAGGGTGTAGCCGAACGATTGCTTTCGTCCATCATGCCCGCTCCTAATGTTTAGAACAATGAAGAGTTGGCATTAAAAATTAAAAAAAAGGTAAAGAGAGGTTCTCGTTCTGAAAATACATCTTTAGCCATATCCAATCGAATTTAATGTGCGAATTATCATTAGCTACGCCCTGTTACGTTCGAGCGGAGCAGGAAAAAGCAGAGAAACCAAAGAAAGTGCGAGAGACCAAAGAACGCGGGACACGAGATGAAATGACAGTAATGACATAAGGGGATATACCTCAAATGATTTAGGTTGTAGCGAGAACGCGATGACGGCAACGTTATTCCC